AACAATTTGAGATATCTTGAATGTAAAGGTGGAGCAGCCGAATTTATGTTAAAACGGCTTGCCATAGACTGCTGGAACGAGATGTCTGATGTATTTCCAGTTGTACGTAACGGTTACAGTTTAATCTACGCTCTGGATTACCCATAATTCCAAGTCTTATTGTAAAAAATAAAATACTCATATATATTGTTCTTTTAAGATCTTTATTGCGGTTTGAAACATATTATATGAGTGTATTTTTTACCAACCGTCTAATGAACTATACACAGTTATTAACACAGTAATTAAAAGTAGGCTGCCACTGTCTGCTTTGCTATTGGTGTCGTGTTTAAATGGCTCACCATGATGGTGAGCCGTATATATATATATATATATAAACGAACATATACATACCTACATAAACACATCAGGCAAAAATCTACATTTCCACCCCTGTACATCAGCACTCAGAGTACTACGACCCCCGGACCCCCCCCAACTCCGAATTTAAACAGTTTATGGAATAGCTTGGTTGTTCTTTGAGCTTAAACTACAATTAGGCTACTGCTGAGTCACATATGCATTCAAACTGAACGTTATACGTCTTACATTATGCTTAACTTAATCTTTTTAGAACAATGAGTTTGCTTTGTGCTCCTTTCTGTTTTGTTGTTCATAAGTTCACCACTAGGGGGAAGCACAGCCTTTCTTTTCCTTGTTCTTAGACCACATAGCTTTCATTTTAAAGATCTTCAGCTAAACAAAGTGAAGCAAAAAAATAAAAATAAATCAAATAAAAAAAATGGGTGTACCCTTAATCATAAAAGCATGATTCTGTCTAATAAGCAGACAGAATCATGCTTTTCTACCTGAAAGCTCCCTGTTCCAGGACAGGAAGCTCCAGGCTTATCTTTGCATACAGTTGTGTTCATTAACAAGCTTTATTAGGGAAAGACACTTTTAATCAGACGTGAGAAATACATGATAATAACTGTTGTTAGGATTGTTCTTTATTGGTCATGTATGTTTTTGTTATATTATCTATCTGATAGAGTCCTACATAGTCTTCCATCACATAGTGTAACAGAGGCTATCTAATGAGGACAGACCTTCTGTTCGAACAAAGAGAACAAATAACAGTTCATCCTGGAGGCCGGATTGATAAAGAAGAAATGTGATCCTGAGGCGCAGATGCAGCAGAGAACAAGCTCAGGGTTTT